CCTGGTTTAAGAGAGCTGCCAGCCTAGTGTTAAAACAGTGAACATCACCACTACTTCCACGCTACCAGGTGAAAATGCTGTGGGGACCCAACACCACCCATCCATCCTCTCCACTGTAGGCTTGTGGCTGTTTGTCACATATAGAAAGCCATATGTAATAATGTGTCAGTAGTAATACGTTTCTTAAGGCAGACCCTTTCATTTTAACATGTGCATATGTACATTCTTAATGTGAGCAATTATGTTGCGCAACATAATTGCTCACATTAATCACGTCTATACACATTGTTGCAGCTGGTGATTTCACATTTTTCCTAGCGCAACTTAATTGGTTTAAAGTATATGTACATTCTTGTTGCACAGAACAGACGAAGGAAAATTGTGCACTTTCTGACATTAGCAAAGTTATAATGCTTTATTTCATTTAATTTAATTCATTCATTTCAATTGTTGCCTAAAGTGGAAAAAAAAAACTTTTTAGGTAATAATAAAATGCTGGCCACATGTGTTCATAGGTTTCTCTCAAATTTGTCCAGTGTCAGGACTCTGGGTAAATTTATATATAACTCGGGTGAGGTGAGTTTTACTGAAAAAAAGACATGACTACTAAGTACTAATGATTTGCTGAAGTTTTCTTAACATGCTGGTAAATTTGTGCCTTTAATAAACAAAAGCTCTGAAGCTTAGTAATGCTGATTGTTGCCGTGGGGGTTAACCTATACACAGCACAGCTGTCAAAAGCAATGCCCAAATTTGTCACCTGGCATGCAACAAATTGGCCTTTGTATTGTTAACTTTACCTTAATGTTGTTTTTTTAAATAACATAATTCACTAATGTGGAGTAATCTCAGACTAAGTCTTGAATTAGTGCACATTTAATTTTTGGTCCGATCAGAGATATGGCTGTTTGTGTAAACAATAAGGAGAATGTATGATTATTTAATCTGCTCATAATCCATCACAGAGATTTTGCAGCCATAGCAAGGTAAGCAACCCTTTCAGAGTATGTTGCTTAATGTAACCCTATCCATATAATCATAGGTTCTGGCATTGAGGTAATCTCAACCAATCTCTCGTCTTCCATGGTTCTTGATGTGGGATTGGTAACTAAGAACAGCTTTAAGTGTATCTAAAGTCATTTGTTCATCTTGGATAGATTGGCGAGGAGTTAGAACATCTATTATTGGCACTGAAAGTGATCCAACATTTTGAATTGTCTCCAGAACAGGAATAGAGGGGAAATTCCAATGGGGACACTTTTTCTGGTGAGAAGAGGAAAATTATCTCAACAGAGAGATCACCTCTCACTTTCCTTTCTTCTCTGAAATGGGATACAAATGGCAAAAATGACGTATTTTTTTGGAAAGGTGTAGGTCGGAAGCGCTTGACCCAAAATCAGATTGAGTTTGCAATGTTGAGTAGAGACAATGCTGTGGAATGCAATGGCTCTGGCTAGACAGCTCTCATACATGACAGAATCTCTAGAGGGTCCTTTGGGTGAAATCTAAGGCATATAGGGAAAAAAAGAGAACCATACGAATAGCTGAGTGTCTAAGTGTGTTTATTTCATCATAACAAATCCCAAAAGACAAGCCGATGTGTTTCGGAGGTCCTGAAGTGCCCCCTTCATTAGGGTTTCTGGATTTAAATAAGTTAAAAGATTGAAAAGTAACATATTGTTGTGTTTAAACACAGGCTTCAGCAGCTAGTTGTTGAAGGCTATCACTCATTTGACCCTGCTATCAATGCATCTTATCTTAAAAAGCATGTTTCAGTCCTGATAAAGGGGAACCTTTGGAAACCCCTTTAGATGTGTTGGGTTGTCTTTTTGGATTTTTATAATAATTAAATGAACACTTGGACTCTTAGTTATGGATGTAGTGCTCTTTTTCTCCTATGCACCTTGTGTTCTTATACTCTATGTCTTGGATACACAAACAGTAAGAACCCCCGGGCTATAGTACTAGACTCTGTACTGCCCTCCTGGGAATTGTGGGTGTTTTTGGCCACCTTTGCATGTTCTAGCTCCTTCAGTTGCATTCTCCATAATGTAAAAAAAATAGAAAGTCTGGCATCCTTCTATAATAGTGTGTAGAGCTAGGAGCTCATGCACAAAGATCTCACCAATAAGTGTGCCTGCAAAATATACTAAACTGTCAGGTGGTTTACCACTCTATTATCTGCCACACATTTTAATATCAGTTATGGAAGGGTTTACTGTTTAAGAATAGAACAGTACTGAGTACATCCAGGGCTTTATGTATATTTCATTTTTATATTGGTGCCTTTTAATGCAGGCTTTGTCTCTTTAATCAGCAAACATGTTACACAGCCATAGTGAAATGTAAAAGCACAATTAAATATTTAGCAGTGCGATACCTGCTTTAAATTGTAATTAGGCTATTATTGAAAAAAAATCCCCTCTGGGTGATCAATGTACATTGCAAGGATGCTAACAAACTTTGTTGCAGATTTCTGAATGGGAGGGTCTGGTTCATTATAACTACCTGGTGCGCTTTCAGTGTTCTAATGAGGAAAGGTGCAGTGCTGGCATCTCTTTAGAAGTAGCTAACCCTTAGGGAAACTCTCACCAAAATGAAAATGCCTAAAATTTGACTTGTATCTTAGTGCAGGCATCTGAGAAAATCAGTGAGCCAATCACAGAAGCAGGAAATTACATTTCTGGGGGTGTTCCTCTAATTTCTTTCCTTAAATACATTGTGGAAAGGACAGGACAATAGCTTAATAGTTTTAAAAGGGTGCAGAAAGACTTGCTCTGTAATCCTGTTACACCTGTAGTTCCTGCTTCCTCTGCTCTGCCTTTCCAAACTTCCTATCAGGGAGCCAACACCAATAGCATCACCGCAATCACATGATCACCTCCCAGCATCACTATCACCTGCACGTATGTGTGCCCCCAGTGATTTACACCAGTGCTCCCCAACCTTTTTATCGCCGCGGAACGGTCAACGTTTAATCATTTTACCGTGGCCCGCTGAGGGCGGGGACGTTGATTGTTTATATTTTATAATATATATATCATTATTATAATTATTAATAATAATAATAATAATAATATATATCTATAT